TTTTTTTTTTTTTTTCACAAACTTAATATCATCAGAATAGACACGTGTGGTGAGTTATCCTGTCATCTTTGTACTGGATAAGGCCAACTTATATAAGTATATTATAGGCTATATTTGGTAAAACTAGCTGATAAGTTAGCTGATAACTTATATGTAATTTTTGAGCTTATAGCTTATAGCTTATGACTTATAGCTGAAAAGTTAGCTTATCTATCTATCTATCTATCTATCTATCTATCTATCTATCTATCTATCTATCTATATTTATTATACTATTATAAAAGTGTCAATGAATCTGTAAAATTATATAATGCCTAAAATATCCTTAATTTATCATCTTTGTAATGGCAGATTTATAATTTAATATCAATATTGTAACAATCGTGCTCCTTAGTCCATGCTAATGTGTAACCGAGACAGATAAATAGCAGCAGCTATTAAACGGGTCGCCCATCTTTTGGGGTTCAGTCATCAATATTATGGATATTATTGGTTATTTAAAAAAAAAAAAACATTTGACGGACACATTGAATAAATCAATTAAATGAGAATGTTTAATTAGATATTTATTGTTGTTCTTATCCATTGTATATTTTATAGTATGATTTAAAAATAATCTTCTTTATTTCTGAATTTTTATTTATATTAAAAATTTTGTATCTTATTCTTAATTGTTTTTATTGAATAAATATTTATATTGGTTTTTTTTTCCTTTACCTTTTTCATTTTTGAATTGGATATATCGGTATATGATTTTTAAAATACATGTTAATTATTTTATATGTTATCAAGTTAAGTTGCTATAAAATGGGTTTGTATATTTGGTATTGTTTGTTCTTATAACGGCCACAAAGTATAGAAACATTATTTTTGAAAATAAATAAATTTTGTAATAGTACGAGAGAGTAACTGTTGAATGGTTGTTTTACAACCTAAAATTACAATCTTCTTATTTCTTTGCTTAAAATAATATTAGAACAATTTTATAAAATTGTATAATACTAAAGCTCAATCCATTTGTTTTCAAGTCGAGTGGGATGTCATTTGAGCAACATGATTTAATTTTGATCATATGATAATTTACAAGTTAATTAAAAATATCTCGAGAATCATGATATATCTATATACATTGAAAGTTAATTAATCTTTACCAAGAAATTATATCGATGTATTATCATTATACATCTATCTATTAATCTTGTATTCTTATAAGAAAATAGTGTTTTTCTTTAAAAATTAATGTACGAAAAAAATTATATATTTGAGTATGATATTAATGAGTAAATTGTAATTATATATATTATAATAAAGATATACCATTAATTGATATATAATAAGACATATGAACCAAAAATCTCTATACTTAAGTTTAAGCATTTTGTAGAAATCTAAAAGTTCATATAATTAAGTTGTAACACTTACTTATAAATAACTATAAAGTAACAAATATATTAAATATAATAAATAATATTAAAAATATAATTAAGTCGTAACACTTACTTATAAATAGGAAAAAGAGGTAATAAATAGAAAGTTATAATTAATAAAATTAAATATAAAACTTTTAAAACTTATATTTATTGATGTAAACGAGTCAAATTGTACACCGCTTTTTAATATTTTGTGCTTATTAGTTCTATATGTAACTTTTAGGTGATAGACAATAGCTATTTGTATTATTATCAATGTAGATTATAACTTTTATTTAAAAAAAAAAAACTAGATTATTCTAATATATAGTAAGCAAAATGTCCTATCCTTTCGAAAAAAAAAACCTAAGCAAATTTTATTCGTCATTAGTTTTTTTAATATAATATACAAATATCATATTATATATATAATATAATAATTTTTTAATTATTAAATATTTAATATGTGATAACTCATTTGATAAATTAAAAAGTAATCTTGAGATAAAAGAATGAGTGATTTGCAAAAAGAAATATATATGGAGAAAAAAGGTCATGTGGTTAATATTCAACAAAAAAATTGTAGACGTAATTAATTAATAAAAAATTCTACATGAAAATTTTAATGTTTACGAAAAAATACAAAAAATAAATGTTATATCGCAATGAAAATCCAACGGTAAGGTATCCCACTGAAATTTTCAATTGATATTTCATTGGTATATCTTTCATTGAAAAAATTTATTAGCTATTCCAACAGATATCAATTTTAATTACATTGGAATTTTAGTGGATATAATTATTCCAATTACCATTATTTATTGTTGTTTGAATTTTCGTTGGGATTTTTTTTTCAGCCTTATTCAACCGTTGGAAAAACTGTAAATTGAATTACAAAAAGTTTAATCATTGGAAAACTAATTGCATTGGATCCAAAATAATTTCATATTGGGAGCACTATTCAGTTAATAGAAAAAATATACCATCAAAATAACATAATGTCATTACAGTTTATAAATTATAATTTTCATAATTTATCATCTTTCTCATTTGTAATACTTTTTAACACATCAATATAGTTCCAATAAGTTAAAAAATATTTAAGAGAGCGAAAACATAGTTTTCTAAATGCAACGTAAGAATCATTGAAAATATATATTTTTTAAATTTTATGAATTATTTTTATTTTGTAGTATAGTTGACTCGACATAATAATTGACTGAGATTATAAATTATAAATATTGAGTATAATATTAATGAACAAAATAGTAATCATATATAATAATATAAAGATATACAATTAATTGATTCATAATAAGACATATAACCAAAAAAAGTTATATATTTAATTATATACATTTTTACATATTTAAAAGTTTTATACTCTCTCTCTCTCTCTCACTCTCACTCTCACTCTCACTCTCTCTCACACATACGCACACACTCGCGCGCACACACACATATGTGTATATATATAATAAAAACCTATGAAACAAATATAAAGTGAAAAAAATATTAAATATGATAAGTAAGTATTAAGTCGTAACACTTACTAATAAATATGGAAAATGTAATAAATAATAATGATATAAATAATAAAAGTAAATATAAACTTTTAAAACTTGTACTTAAACGAGTTGAGTTGTTAAACGCTTGTTAATTATATGAATAAGTTTTAGGTGAAAGACAATAGTTTTTTGTACTTTTATCGCTGTAGGTTAGAACTTAAAAAGAAAAATGATTATTCTAATTTTTAACCTTTTATTTGCTATTAGTATTTTAGATATAATATTATGTATAATAATAATAATTATTTTCGTTATTTAATATGTCAAAAATGTAATTCAATTGAGAAATTAATGGGTAATCTTGAGATAAAATAATGAATGATTTCTAAAAAAAATATGGACTAAAAACTTTATAATGAATGATTTCTAAAAAAAATATGGACTAAAAACTTTATGTGCTTAATATATTATTAATAGAAAAACCATAAACATAGTTAATTATTAATAAAAAATTGCTATATTGCAATGAAAAATTCGACGATTGACATTCTACTGAAAATTTCAATAGATATTTCATTGTATAGCTTTTATTGAAAATTTTCATTGGTTATTCCAATAAAGCTCAAATTAAATTACATTGATATTTAGTAGATTTAATGATTTCAATTACCATTATTTAATTGAATTTCCTTTGAATTTCTTTTTTCGGTCCATATTTCAACCGTTGGCAAAACTGTCATTGGAATTGTAAAAAAAAAACAATGTAAGTTACATTGAAAACTAATTGTAGTGGTAGATCAAAAATTATATCGGGGACATCTTTAGTTAATAGAAAAAGTATACCATCAAACTAACAAAATCCCGTCACTTTATATATATATTTTTTTCATAATTTGACATCTTTTTCATTTATAATAAATTTTTAAGTTCTAATACAACAATACAGTCACAATAAGTTAAAAAAATATTTAAGATAAAGAGAATATTTTTTTTTTCAATTCAACATATGAAAATCGTTGAAATTATTTATTTTTCAAATTTTTTATGAACAAGAAATTTATATTATAGTATAGTTCACTAAACAACATAATTGGTGAATTATCAACATATATTCCACATACATTAGTTAAAAAATACATATAAAAAGTATATTTTAATGTTAGAGAAAACAATATGTTTCAAAAAAAAAAAAAGAGAATAGAAAATATCATCAAGATATAAGAAATATATTTAGATGCTAAAATTATAATTTTAAGATTTGATCATATTTTCTTTAGTTGTGATACCATGTTTGTGTTATAACTTTAATAAAATTATGAGCTAAATTAAAATATAATTGATTGAGTTGTAAAAAAATTCACTATGTAATTTTTAATTTATTTGTTTTCTTCAAAATAAGGGACATGATTAAAATTATGAAAAATGTTCCCACAATTTTTATAGATCCTTATCCTATATATTTTGGGATGGAGGCATGTGTCAAGCCTATTACAGAGTAACTTATAAAATAAATTTTAAATTCATGTTGGATCAATTTTATTAAGTATAAAAAAGACATACAATAAACTTGTGTTATATTTTTCTTACATAGATTTGAAATATTCATACAAATAAGAAAAAAAATTACAAAATAGATGTAAACATACATCCATTACTAACATTAACTATGTGAATTAAAAGGACAAACGAATGAATTGTATTTATAACAATTATTCAATTATTGCATAGAAGGGAAAGGGAACACAATAATTGTGAATATGAAAATGAGTTAGTTATTTGATATTTTATCAAACAATGAAAAAGAAACCCTAAAATTTTTAAACTTATAACCAGTATAAAAGTACATATTTATCAAATATAATATTATTATTATAACTAAATAAATAAGTAATACTAAATAGTATTTATTGTATTATATTAGTTGCAGCCTAATAAT